GGGTTTTTTGGTCCCGTCTTTCCGGTGGTTTTCGGCCTCCCACATCCCACCTCATGTAGTGCGGGAGGCCATCGCAGGTTACCACCACCTCCTGTCCGGATTACCCTCCATAATGGATCCTCCTTTCGCACTTGGATCTTGTTCTTACTGGGTTCGTTATGAGGTTCCGGAGTCATCCTGGCTTGCAGATAGCCCTTTCTTCTCATTGGAGGCATGGCATTCGTTCATCAGTCCCATGCTCTTGAGTGGCGCAAGGCTCATACAGTGATCCAAGTTTTCCTGGGGGACGACTTTGAGCACCTCAATGCATACTTGTTTGCCCCTGCCCTTTCTCGGGTTGTGTGCGTTATGCAGCTTATCATGCAGGTTCTCTCCCTCTCGGTTGCCCTGGTTGCTGAGGACTTGCATACTCAGAGCCTGATGGCATCGGTCTTGCTGTACTTTTCTCTTCTCGGGATTTCCTCGAACTGGCTTGAGGTGGATGTGGAGGCGCTTGGGGATGGTCATGGGTCGGGTGCATTGGTCTCAGCGGTGCATGCATTATCTGCTCTTTTGAAGCTGTTTGCAGCGTCGCTGTTTTTTGCATCCCATCTTGCATGTCAACAGGCGGTGCTTGCTTCCTCTGTTGAATCTGCTTGGGCCCTGGCTCTTAGGTTGTTTTTGCCTTTTTGTCCATTTGCTGTTTGCAGAGTCTGTGGTGATGCAGTATCTGCAGGCAGCTTCTTCCAGTTATCGTCCCATGTTGGACTTGTTGGTTCTCCAGGGGGCCCGGGGGGGATCTTCCTGGAAAGGTCGTGCCAGGACTCAAGATTCCTCCCGTTGTGGTAGGCCAGTGGTGCCGGTTTCAGAGCCGGCGCAGCCTTCGAAACCATCTTTGTCTGTCGGCAAGGTGATCACTCTGTGCGGAGGACGGATTCTCATGAGGGGTGTCAGCCCTTTCGTGGTTCGTCCCATTGACGGGGCGAGGGAGGGGAGGAAACTCGCTCTGTTTGCTCACCCCTGGTCTCATGATTTGTGGGTCTTTCAGGTAGTTTCGTGTGGCCTGCTGTGGCCCTCCTCCTTCGGGAAGTTCGGGGTTGACAGGGCAGGCCTCTTCTGCGCTCTGTCGGGTCATCTCGAAGTGGGTTTGCTTGGGCGTGGTCGAAACGACCTCATCCCTCCAGTGGGTTTCCCGCCTGTTTCCGGTTCCAAAACAGGACTGCGTGGACTTCAGGTTCATGCTGGACTTGTCCCGTCTGAACCCATGGGTTTAATGCCCCTCCTTTTGGATGACTACTCAGTCCCAGGTCCGGCTTCTATTGGAGCCAGGCACTTGGAAAGTGTCCCTGGACCTCCAGGACGCTTATTGGCATATCCTGATTCATCTGGGTTTCAGGGACTGGCTCAATTTTTGTTGTGGGGCGTCAGGGTTACCGCTTTCATTGCCTTCCATTCGGCTTGAATCTGGTACCTCGCGTTTTCACACGCCTTACCCGAGTCGTGGTGGCCCGTCTGCATCTTTTAGGGAGTCGGATTCCGGCCTATTTCGACGACTGGCTGTTGTGGGCTCCCAGCCGGTCCGCGTGTCTGCTTGCCAGGGATTTGGTTCTTTCTCAGCTCGCCGGGTTCAGGTTTCTGATGAATTGAAGGAAGTCCCATCTGGTTCCCTCTCAGTTTGGTCTTGGCTGGGTCTTGTGTGGTACTCTCGGACCGCTTCCTTATCTCTCTCTCTGGAGGCTCAGCTTCGGCTGCGGTCCCGCCTTCACCTGTTTCTGGGGGCTTCCAGGTCATGCGGCAGTTGCTCGAGGGTTTGTGCTGGAGTCTGAACTTTGCCATGATGGTCTACCCGCCGGGTCGGGTTTGGTTTTGTCGGCTGTTCTGGTTCCTTCGGGGATGTCCCTTCCTCCTCTCTTGCCATCTCTGGGTTCGGCCTCTGGGGGCCTTGCGTCAGTTGCTACATCGCCAGTTTCCTCTTTGGGTTTTTCGGGGTTCAGTGCCTTGGTGCCTTCCCATGCCCCTCGCTCGATGTCTTCGCGGACGCATAGTCTCCTGGCTGGGGCTTTGTGACCGATGTTCACCAAGCTGGCCAGGGACAGTGGGATCCGTCCTTCCGTGGAAGCCCACAGCACAGTGCGGGATTGCGCGGCAGTGTGGATGCAGATTCAGAGGGTTCGGGTTGCTCGCGGATCGACGATCAGGCTCCATTCAAACTGCTCCCTGGTGGTTTATTGCCTGAACTGTGGGGGTTCAATGTGGTCCTTGGCTCTTTGGGGCTGGTCGCTTCAGGTGACTCATCTGCTGAGTTCTCAACATGGACGGTCGACGCCGACTCGTTCAGTTTTGCTATGCCGGACGTATGGGCTCCTGGAGGTGGACCTCTTTGCGTCGGCGTGGTCGAGGCGTCTCCTGGTATATGTGGCGCCCTTCCCCGACTGCGAGGCCGTCGGGGTTGATGCCTTCAAGCAGGACTGGTCAAGGTGGGGGTTACCTGTACCTCTTCCTAGCTCACTTGGAGACTTTCCAAGGGAGAGTAGTCCTTCTGGCTCCTTGGTGACTGGCCCGACCTTGGTTTCAGGTGCTACTTGCTTGGTGTCCGAACCCAGGGGTCTTCCCGTGGCTCCGCCTCTTTCAGCAGATCGAGCCAGTCTGTTATGTGGCTGGTTCAATCATCTCCTCCAGTCTTCAAGTCTGGTCTTTCTGAAGCAGGTCCATCACCACTTATCTGGTGAGCAGGTGGCTTCGTTGATGGTGTCTCATCTGCGTGTTTCGTCTCAGCGGAAGTATGAAGTTTCCTGGCGGTCCTTCCGTTATTTCTTATCCCTTCGTTGGTTTACTTTTGTCTCTTAAAGGGTTGTCTTGTCCTTCCTTTCATGGTTGCTCCAGGACCATCATCTTATGCCGAATACTGTTGCCTTGTATCTTGCGGCGCTGGCGGACCCACTGCAGCTTGCGTAGCATTGATGTTACTTTTGCGCCATTCCGCGAGCTGTCTCGTGCATTGTTTCACCTCCAGCCTGCTCATGCGCCACCTGAGCCGTTCTGGTCCTTGGACCAGGTGCTCTCCTTTCTCTCTTTCTCTTAGTTTGTGGTGGCCCCTTCAGTCCAAGACTGTTTCCAGAAAGCTTTGTTCTTGTTGGCTTTGGCTTCTGGGGGTTGTGTCGAGGAGCTTCATGTTCAACTCCTACACAGAGGTTTCTGCTCTTTTAGTCCAGGTGGATATTTTGTTCATTTGCAGCTGTCTCCTTCTTTTCTGGCATAAAACGAGATGGCGGGCTTCCAGAGGGGACTCTGGGTTATTGATGCTTGGCTGGTCAGGCCAGGGGAGCATCATGTTTTGTGTCCGGTTGTAGCTTTACGCAGTTACCTGTACTCCTCGGCTTCTGTGTCCGGGAACGCGCTATGGATTGACCCGGTATCTCATGGTTCCTGTTCCTGAGCTCGGGTCTCTCAGGTCATCTACAGGATTATTAAGTCTAGCCATACTGCGGTCTACTCTCGCACCCTTGACGTTCATAAGTTCGCAGCTTTGGCTGTTGTGTTTGGTAATATGTCTTGGGCTGACATTTGGGCGCAGGGGTTTTAGAGATCGAACATGGTCCTGGCTGCCCATTATCTGGTTAATGTGCCGGGCCCTCAGCGGTCTTGTGTTGCCTTGGGACGGTGGTTGCAGCCAGTTGTCTTGTCTTCGTTGTGAGTAGTGCATTGCAGCCACCTGCCAGGTAAATCCCTATTTTCCTGCTCTTTGAGTAGTTAGCTCCAGGGAGCCAATGGGGCTTCTCCACAGAAAACCAGCGTTGAATGTAATGAAACACCGTTTTCTGGGTAGAGATCTGGAAGCTCCCTAGCACCCCCCCTTCCCCCAGTCGGCGATTTTTGTTTCCATTTTCAGCTTACAAATTGACGGTCCCACTGCTGGCTCATTGGGCCAGGACCACCATCTGCCGGCTCATTGGGCCAGGACCACCATCTGCCGGCTCATTGGGCCAGGACCACCATCTGCCGGCTCATTGGGCCAGGACCACCATCTGCCGGCTCATTGGGCCAGGACCACCATCTGGCTCATTGGGCCAGGACCACCATCTGCCGGCTCATTGGGCCAGGACCACCATCTGCCGGCTCATTGGGCCAGGACCACCATCTGCCGGCTCATTAGGCCAGGACCACCATCTGCCGGCTCATTGGGCCGGGACCTCCTTGTAAAAAACGGTTGCAACTTTTCTACCAGGAGGAGTCTGTTTTGGTGCGCCTACCTTTCTGGGGGCTCAACCCCCGTCGATGATAAACACGAGTACTTTCATACATGAGTTTCATAAGCCATTGCTCCCTAGGCCTCTCTGAGGGGACCATGTTCTGGCTAGTGGTCCCCAGTATGCATGACAACTCCATATGACTGAAGCCCCGTACTAATAGTAGCTAATATCAGTCCAATAGCTCCAGAGAGCCTCCATGGGCTATACCCAGAAAATGGCATTTCATTAAATTCAATGCTGTTTTCTTTACATTTATTGCCAACAAATTATAAAGAAGAAAGTAAATTCTTAATATACAGAATATAACTTGAATTGTTTTACATTTAACTAAGTGTTGTGTTTGTAAACCTTAGGATCAGAGTGCATTGGGTTGGATCTGTACCTGTACTTTCATTCCGTGATGGTCTGTTTGAGTGGGACTCCATTGTTTGGCTTTTGTTACACTTGTTTATTGTCCTACTCAATAGCAGTGTGCAGCCATTATATCCATTAATAATAATGTATATTTTAGATTCATTATACACATATATAAACTTGTTCACTGATATTTGAAATGTAGTTACTAAGTCTCCTGTAATGCATTCCTGTAAATATTAATTTGATGGTGATACATTCCCAATTGTGTAAGAGATGAGAGCACGATTATTAAATGCTTTGTTTAAAAGATATGCAAAGAGCTTAAAGATTCAATGCTGTGCACAGCATAATTTTTCACCTTGTACTAGTATATAATTAATGGATATTTAGACTAATGAGTTCTTCTCATTTCAGGATTTTTTGTATGAAAATTATACATTTGCTCCTAACAATCCATACCGGGTAGGAACTCTTGGCTCTCGACCCGGAACTCTCCTTGAGGCCCAAGAAAACACTCCATATTATATATTGGATTCGATGTTACAACAAGGACACGTACAGAATTCCAAAAACTCAAATATAAGGGACAATCAAGAGGAAAATACTCCTCTTTGGGTTTTGCGGAAGCCGTCTAATATGTTTGAACCCCAGTATAAACAGCCAGAGACAAGAAATACTGATGGCTTTTGGAGATCAGCAGATAAAACAGATTTGAAATCAGTGCAAAAGAAAACTAAAATCGAACCAACTGTGAAAGGTGAATTAAGACCACTGTGCACAGAAATTCCAACAAAAGAACAAATTTATCCAGGTAATAATGAGAAATTGTTTAAACAAGTTCCTGAATGCTCAAACCCAAATTATGCCAGAAACACAGAAAATGATAATTGTGAGTCTAATAACAAGGTAAACCCTACCCTTGGTCATGCATATGCAAAAGTGGATCACACCACAGGTAGAAGTAATGATGTATATGAGAATGCTCAAACTGAACCACCAGAGATGCGGAGAGATGCATCACAACTGCGTTTCAGGGCTGTATGGACAACCCCTCAGGAAGCACCATGTGAACCAGAAAAGCAAATCAAAATTATTACAGGTGTTGGAAAAAAGAAAAAGACCAAAAATATTTCAGTTGGTAAACTATAATTTGTATTTTGAACAAAGAGAAGCATATGCAGTGATCTGTCCCAAAATAAGCAGTGGGAATTGGCTAGTGCTTCAGATACTTACATTAAAGAACAAATTAGTTTTATATTTGTTTTAAATAAATCAGTTTTAAATAACTGATGCAGTCGTTAGAAAAATTAATTATATAATGTGTGTGTGTATGTATGTGTGACACCACAAGCGTAGCTCTCATCCTGTAACTACACTTAAGTAATTACACTTCGGTAATTACACACACACACACACACACACATACATACATACATACATACATACATACACACAGTAGTACCTTCGTTTACAGTTCTAATCCGATCCCAGAAATGCGTCGTCCACCAAAAAATTATAAATCAAAACAAATTTTTCCACAAGAAATAACATAAATTGGATTAATCTATTCCACACACCCAAAAATGTTAACTTAAAAATAAATTTTATACCGAATACCACTCATATTTTGTACTCCAGTACAGTACATCTTACCTCTATTGAGGACTCATGTTGGCATATGGAAGACGGTGAGGAGGGGGGAAGAGGAGGAGAGGTAATAGTGTTTGGAAGGGAAGTCCCCATTCATATTAACATGAGGCAGTGATGACATTTCTGGGGTACACTCTCTCCTGTTTTGCAGGCAATACCACTAGGACCTGTTTGTGGCTCACTGCTTGCTTGTCTTACTAAGAATCTGTCTAAAGACACTTGTTTTTCCCTACATTTTAACACTTGACTGTAGTGAGACATCACATTGTCATTAACACTTTCGCGGGATGAGGACTCACCCCGGAGTCCTGTTTTGCCTACCCGCTCCCGCATAGTGGACATAAATTTATGTCCTCTTTTAAAATATTTGTATAAAATTCAATTTTTATCCGATTTACTTTGGGTTTGTTTCAAACTGCGCGCTATTATAGTCTTGTGGGTTGTTGGTGTTGTTGTCGTCGTGTTCCTCCTTTACGGACAACCCAACCCACAACTCGGTAGAGTGCTTATACCTCACTAGGAGATCACCCTTGGCGCTTCTGGCTCTTGGAGAGGGGCTCAACGTCACACGATTAGGGGATGCGGCTCCAACACTTAGCCTCGTTGTCACGTGCACACACCCACTCGAGCCGCTGTGACTCCCCACTCTCTCCTTATGAGTTATGATCTACTCAATCCCCTACAACTTACTAGTATTACCTTCTACCCTGTCCACAGCAGTGGTTCTTGGTTCTTTCTTTCTCTCTCTCTCTCCTTTACTATTTCCTGGGAAGCCTCACTAGGACAAGGGCAAACACCAGCAAATTGGGATACATTTACTGGACGAAGCATATACACAATACATACACACATTTCTTCGGTAGTCAGTTCTTCGTTGTGTTCTTCCACCAACTCCTCCACATCATCACCATCCAATTCCAAGCCCATTTTCTGGCCTAGACTAACAATTTCCTCAACAATAGGCGCATCATTTATAGGCTCAAACCCCTCAAAGTCTAGTTCTCTCACACCTTCAGGCCACAATTTTCTCCAGCCAGAGATCAGGGTTCTTTGAGTCACTTCTTGCCAGGCTTTGTCAACGAGTTTTAAAGCACTAAAAATGTTAAAATGCTCTCTCCAGAACTCTTTGAGGGTGAGGTTTGTGGCTTCAGTCACTTCAAAACATTTCCGGAAAAGTGCCCTTTCATACAGTTTCTTAAAATTCGCTATGATTTTCTGGTCCATAGGCTGAATTAGAGGAGTGGTGTTAGGAGGAAGGAATTTAACTGTGAGGAATTTATTGCATTGAGGCATCAAATCATCTTCCAAGCCTGGAGGATGAGCAGGAGCATTGTCAAGGAGAAGCACGGCTCTGAGTGGCAATTGTTTCTCCTGCAGATATTTTTCTATGGCAGGGCACAGCACTTCATTCACCCACTCCGAAAAAATAAGCCTAGTGACCCATGCTTTTTTATTAGACTTCCACATCACAGACAAACGGGTTTTCTGCACATTATACTGTTTGAAAACCCTTGGATTTTCAGAATGATACACTAGCAAGGGTTTAATTTTTAAATCGCCACTCGCATTTGAACACAGCACAAGCGTAAACCTATCTTTCATAGGCTTGTGTCCAGGCAAGGATTTTTCCTCCTTGGTAATGTATGTCCTCTTAGGCATTCTTTTCCAAAACAGTCCTGTTTCGTCACAATTAAACACTTGTTGCGGTAGGTATCCCTCAGCCTCTGCAAACTCTTTAAATTCGTCAATAAATCGTCCAGCGGCTGGTTTGTCTGAGCTGGCTGCCTCCCCATGCCTTGTAACACTATGGATACCACTTCTCTTTCTAAATTTTTCAAACCAGCCCCTGCTTATAATAATAATGAATCCTATACTCTATAATATTACAATCAAGCTGCACTCCAGCATCATCAGAACTCTATCATCAGCTTATCAAGTGGTATCCTATCTCCTGGTTCACCACCTGATACTATCAACCTCCTCAAGTTGATCAAGTCTACATACACTGTTGCACCATCAGCAAGAGAATATATATATGTATCTATAAATGTGTACAAAGAAAATCGGCATTTGAATGCAATAACATATATCAGTATAAATGTTCCTTGATACACAACAATGATCAATCGATCACTCTATCATTCCTAGAACACATACATCTGTAGGTAATCCAGCCTACGACTGTAACTCTAAACTTCAGTATAAAACACTCCTTGACATAAGAATGCAAACAGTCACTCACCTCTCACTGCGTCTTGCACGCTAATGACAACCAAACACTATCAACTCCCTACAAGTAATCCACCAGAACTTCCCTTCCACCTCTGGAAGTTCACTACCCTGATCTTCAGGTTCTTCCGGGCTTCACTACCAGGATCCTCTGCAGCTCCTCCAGGCTGCTATCATGAAGTTTCCTTGAGCAACTACGGTGCTCCACCCATCTGCTAGGTTCCTCCACAGCTCTCTTGGCTGCTACACCATGAAGTTTCCTCGAGCAACTATGGTGCTTCACAACCTCTACAGAAGCACGTGACACTCCTCTTCACTGCTTCTCCTCACAGCTCGAGGTTCTCGCCTCCACTACCTTGGAGTCTCATCAACTACTTCATCTGTGCTGGCTTCGAAGTTCTCAGCAACTTCTTCCCCAAAGACAAACCTGCAACCCATCGACACTCCAATAAAAATGTTTCCCCTTTAACACACAAACAAAAATGATCACACAATATGTTTGCCTCAAACCTCTATCTGTCCTCTACATACAGTGAGAGTGGACTTCCCCGTTTTGGACGGGTCCATACTCCACCTCGCCCGGCGGGCCTCCTCACTCAGGGAGGGTCCTTCACCGTCAGGAGCCAGGCTCCCTCAGTTGCCCGCCAGCGCTCAGAGGGGACAGACGTCGCTCCGTGTTCCTCCCTCTCCACTCTCTTATTTCAGGCCTTCTGCCTTATTAAAACATGTCTAACTTATCAATAAACATTGCTACTGTCGCTGGGCACACGACCAACTACAAGCAATCACTATGAACTGGCTTATATTGTGCTTACCACAGATTGTCTAGTCGAGGGCGCTCCTCCCTCTGACGAAGCTTGGTCAGGGCGCTTCCACGGCCCACAATAATGCCTCTGGACGATTTAACATCTGCTCGTCGACCAGGACTTGAGACCACAACGTTCCCAGCTCGATTCTACAGCTGGCACATCTGCATACTTCTCTTCTCTTCGAGATATATCACTAGGGGTTCCCTTCTGACGGGAGCTCAACGGAGCGCGGCTTTCCCCTGCGATGTCTGGCACTCAAATGAGGTCAAAGCCCCTCCAGAAGCGAGCCTCACGCCTCCAGCAAAATGTCCACATCTCCTAGCCAGTCATTTATCTATTTCCTTACTTACTGCCCATAATCTTAAACTGTTCATTGAATCCACCATACTATTTTTCATATGGGTTATCACCTCAATATTTGCTAGACCTTCTAATCAGGTCAGGCTTGATGAATAACTCTCAAGGAGGGAGACTCGTTTCTCCTGCAGGCTGAGATCATAACAGCGCCATGAGGCTCTCTTTCTCACCAATAGGCTGCATGGTACAATAAGTTCATGAAAGGTTCACAAACATAACAAAAGTAAAAACATTTCGTGTGTGTTTGATTCTCACTGATATGTTCCAGCGTTGTTTTATATTTGGCGCTATTCTATCTTAGGCTTTGTTGATCTTTTTTACCCACGGGCTCATAGAACATTCTATTGCGAACACATTGACACAAAAATGAATGACGTACATAGAATAATAATGTCATGAGAATGAAATAAGTATAAACTTTCAAAGCGCCGTGCGTCATCCCGTCACCGACACCGGGTAACAATTTCACCACTTCCCACACTCTTGCGGGCGGGCCGCAATCATTATTCTACGCTTATATTCATATCACCGTGTTGGGAATTTCATTGCGAGTCCATTGATACCAAAATTAACGCTGTAGGACAAGTGTGGAGGTGATAACAATCCCAAGAGTAAAAACATTTTGTTGCTGTTGGGCGCTCACGGCGAGTCATCTTCGTAGTTATTTATTTGGTGCTGGTATCCCTATACGTTTCGTGACTTTTTTTTTACTGATGTTCTTCTAGAGAATTTTATTGCGAATACGTTGGTACCAAAATGAAATACGTAGCTCGAGAACTAAGGTCATGAGAGTAAAAAGAGTATACACATTTTTGTTTTTACGCTTACGCGGCAAAACGCCGTGAGCACTTACGGTTGTTTCCCTGACCTTCGCGGAGAGCGCGAAAGTGTTAAAATGTCTAATGCAATGGCCTGCTACAGCTTAATCTGGGTGACACTTTTCAGCAAAACTTTGTTTTGTTTTTCCCATACTTCACACATTTCCTTAATTAATGAGGAAGGGACATTCTTTACTACCTCTTCATCCCCTGAAGACGTTTCCTCAGCTGTCTCTTGTTGCTGCTCCTTGTGAAGGGCTACGAGTTCGTTGGTGGTCAGTTCTTCGCTGTGTTCATCCACCAGCTCCTCCACATCAGCACCATCCAGCCTAGCTAGTTCAACAACCCTCATACAGTACCATTTTAATGTTTACAAATGATCTCTTGTTTTTCCTCTACCGTCATCCTCACAACTATTTTCTTAGGTTGAACTTTACCACTGACTTCCTTGGGACCCATAGCATGATATTTATTTATTTATTTATTTATTTATTTATGTATTTATATATATATATGACCGAACCTAACCAACCCTACCTACCTAACCTAACCTATATTTATTGAGTTCTGGCTACTATATATATATATATATAATATGTCGTACCTAGTAGCCAGAACTCACTTCTCAGCCTACTATGCAAGGCCCGATTTGCCTAATAAGCCAAGTTTTCATGAATAAATTGTTTTTCGACTACCTAACCTAACCTAACTTTTTTCGGCTACCTAACCTAACCTATAGAGATAGGTTAGGTTAGGTTAGGTAGGGTTGGTTAGGTTCGGTCATATATCTACGTTAATTTTAACTCCACTAAAAAAAATTGACCTCATACATAATGAAATGGGTAGCTTTATCATTTCATAAGAAAAAAATTCGAGAAAATATATTAATTCTGGAAAACTTGGCTTATTAAGCAAATCGGG